TGTCCTGGTTCCGGCAGGGATGGGGTTAATCTCCCCAGGAGCCGGCAGGGGGCAGGTATTCCATACCACGTGACCCATGCCCGAGCTATAAGAGGAGCTAGCCGGGGCGAGGAGCGGAGTCGCCACTCGGGGGTGGGCTGCGGCGGTGCGGACTCTTTTAACCCACGGGTTTGGCCCTGTCATTTTCTTTTTCCACGACTGTGGGAGTTGTGCGAGCGGCTGCGTGGTTCTTTGTTGCTGGCTGAGGCCAAACCACGACAAGTGACCAAGGCAACACGGGAACCATCCTACAGCCACCACCCCCACCCCACCATAAACCAGTTAGGTGGCACATCAAGACAGGAGAATATGTTTTGCTGGTCACCATTTATTCAGCCAGCTTTGTGCTTTCACATGTCTTGAGTTGCTTTTGGCCAAGCTGCAGAGTTTCCAAGTCACATTTCCTCAGACCTTCTCTAGAAGGAACTGCAAAACTGGCATCCAAAAATCTTCATCCAAGCTGCCTTCCCACAGGTAAAAAGGCTATTCCTCATCACACTCCCCTCCATCTGCTGAGTCCCTTCCAACCTCCTCATAATCCTTCTCCAGGGCAGCCAGGTCCTCCCTGGCCTCGGAGAACTCCCCCTCCTCCATGCCTTCCCCCACGTACCAGTGCACAAAGGCTCGCTTGGCATACATCAGGTCAAACTTGTGGTCCAGGCGGGCCCACGCCTCCGCAATGGCCGTGGTGTTGCTCAGCATGCAGACAGCCCGCTGCACCTTGGCCAGGTCGCCCCCGGGCACCACCGTGGGAGGCTGGTAGTTGATACCCACCTTGAAGCCCGTGGGGCACCAGTCCACAAACTGGATCGACCGGCGTGTTTTAATGGCTGCAATGGCTGCGTTCACATCCTTGGGCACCACATCGCCCCGGTACAGCAGGCAGCACGCCATGTACTTGCCCCGGCGTGGGTCACATTTCACCATCTGGTTGGAGAACTCAAAGCAAGCGTTGGTGATCTCCGGCACCGACAGCTGCTCGTGGTAGGCTTTCTCTGCCGAGATGATGGGTGCATAGGTGGTGAGCGGGAAGTGTATCCGTGGGTACGGTACCAGGTTGGTCTGGAATTCAATCAGGTCAACATTCAAAGCACCGTTAAATCTCAAGGAGGCAGTGACCGATGAGACGATCTGCCCAATCAGCCTGTTGAGGTTGGTGTAGGTGGGACGCTCGATGTCCAGGTTGCGGTTGCAGATGTCATAGATGGCCTCGTTGTCCACCATGAAGGAGCAGTCCGAGTGCTCCAGGGTGGTGTGGGTGGTGAGGATGGAGTTGTAGGGCTCCACCACTGCTGTGGAGACCTGTGGGGCTGGGTACACAGAGAACTCCAGCTTGGACTTCTTGCTGTACTCCACAGAGAGCCTCTCCATGAGGAGGGAGGTGAACCCGGAGCCTGTGCCTCCCCGAAGCTGTGGAAGACCAGGAACCCTTGGAGGCCACTGCACTGATCAGTCTGCAGCACCAGAGAAAGAGCCAGAAGGACCTAGTTACTGGAGTTATTCTGGTCTCATTGGACTTCAATGAAGCTAAAGTACTCTGTTCAACCATCAAGTTGAAAGCTTTTATTTTTTCCCCCCTCTTACTACTGCTTACACACAGTTTCCACTTCGAACAGATGAGATCTCTTAGACACAGAAAATGCAGCTGCTTTTAAATCATCTCCCCTTTGAGCAGGAAGAAAGGCCTGGCCTGAGAGTGACACACTGGGTGAGATAGACACCCGTGATTGCAGCAGTCAAGAATATTAGGAAAACTCTGAAGATCACTAAGAGGGCATCTCTAGTCCCTTCTTTTCCCCTTGAGCAACGAGCAAGATGCACACCCACGTGCATCCCATCATTTTGCTCCAGATCACAGTGGCATGGTCAAGTTGACCAAGAACTGCTTGCCTTTCCTCCCCCTTGCATCTCTTGATGGCCAGGACAATAGCCACCAGAGTGTTAATGCAGAAGACCCTCCACAGCATTGTTACCATTTTCCGAGCCTTGTCAACAACAAAGTCAATGATCTCCATCCCAATGCTGTAGTGGCCCCGAGCATAGCTGTTGGCAGCATCTTCTTTGCCGCTGATGAGCTGGTCCGGGTGCAAGAGCGTGCAGTAGGTCCCAGTCCTGATCTCATCTGGAAGAAATTGATGTCTCATGAGTGTCACTGGCAGAAGATCCACTGTCTACCAAGTTGCTTGCACTAATTAAGATGCAGTTTCATATGGAAGCTGGCAGCAGTTTGGGTGGCCAACACTACACTTCAGGGCAGAGAAGGTATTCCCCACTCTTACCCCCGCAAGAAGTCTGGAGACATTGCGTGACTTGACTTACCAATGACAGAGGGCTCCAGGTCAACAAACATTGCTCTGGGCACATACTTCCCTGAGCCCGTCTCACTGAAGAAGGTCCCAAAGGAAGAGCCTGCTTGCCCTGAGGACGCAGTGGAGGAGATGATGCCATCTGGCCCAATGCCATGCTCCAGGCAATACAGTTCCCAACAGGAATTGCCCGTCTGGACACCAGCCTGGCCAATGTGGACAGAAATGCACTCCCTCTGCACGGGGATGGGAGAGAAGAGGAGGTTATGAATGTGCACTGAGGAATTAGACTAAGGCTGGCGCTTCTGGTTGCCTTATATGTGGCCAACAATTGACAGACAAGAGGAGCATTAGCCCACTTGGTGGCAGCCAGGGTGCTTTCTCCGTAGCAGGCACCCAAGAGCTGCTGAACAAGCAACAACTGAGCATTAGCCTTTCAGAGGGACGTTGCCATCTCCCACCAAGGCAGACGCAGAGATTAGGGCATTGTGATAGGTCCCTCTGCATCCCACCATTCTCATTACACTGCTCAACAGCCCTGTTCCCAGGAGCAGGCCACCAAGCCCAGCTCCTGAACCTACAGCACATGGGAGCTGTCAAGTCCAACTGCTCATGGTTTCTTCTCTTTGCTCTGTCGATCCTGCCTTGGGGCAGAAGACAGGGCACAGACAGCCTTCCAGGGTACTTCACCTGGGGCACAGGGAATGATTCAGCCCAGCCAGTCTTAGGCAGCAGTGGAAAAACTTCCGCCCCAGGTCCTTCCCAGGGAGGTAGAGGTAGACGTCTCCCCACCCACATGGACAGCAACAGCAGCAGAGGACCTCTACCTCTATCTGATGGGAGAAGCCTGTGCTGTTGGGCTTTGAGTATTGACTGTCAGAGCAGTTTCTCATCTCCGTTTAGAGCAGATGCAGCCCCACAGAATCAGCTGGCTGAAGCCAGCTAGAGAGGATCCAAGCTAGGACGGGTAGGGACCAATTCTTCATCTTCTCCATACTAGACTAGCAGTTGCCCCATGAAGCAACTGCTCTTGGCTTGAACTGAAAGGAGGAGTCCTCGTGCAGAAGGTGTGGTTGAGCTCTTGAACTCCTTGGCACAGGAGGCTGTGAAAACCAGGCTGTTGGGTTCAGAAAGGCTAAACTAGAGACTTCCACTGAGGTTTACTGGGGGGAAAAACCTGCACATCCAATTCAGGAAGCCCTGAGCTACAAGGTAGGGAAGTCTCAGATGGGGTTACCAAAGGCTTAGTCTGCCCTTACAACCCGCTTTTAGCTGTGGCCTGAGCAGCATGCTGGGCTGCTGGAGACCCAGCACAGCAACTCTCAAATTATCTTCTTGCAAGAATCCTGGCACAGCAGGAGCTCTACCAACACAGGAACAGGGCAGCAACAACCTACACGAGCGCAAAGGGTCCTACCCTGAGAGTTGAGATCTAATGTATTGGTCCTCAGCCACCACTGTATTCCTTACCCTACACAAACAGTTCCAGGACAGCCATAGCAACCCCCCACCCCAGGGCCAGAACAGCGATGCTGAGCCAATCTCCACAAGGAGAGACCTTCATTCCCTGCTCCAGATATGCCCCAGCCTCACAGCAGCACCAGATGCGCACCTAGCTCAGTCTTGGATCAGATATGTCATGGTTTAACCCCACCAAGACCTTCAAAGTACCTTCATGCAGGGGGACAGGCATGACTTCAAGTCATTTCAGCAGACTAGTCCTCCCCAGGCCTGGAAGAGGTGGACACCAGGCTTGCAAGGCCAACCCAGCTCTGGAGACCAGCTCCCAAGCACAAGCTCTGCACCCCCAGGAGCTCCTTCTCCAGGACTCACGATATGCTCCTGTATAGCCCACAACCACTTTCACCCCTCGGGAAACCCACAGCCAGGGGCAAGATACCTTCCCCCAGCTGGAAAAGCAGGACACCTCCAGCTCCATCCTCCTGCAGAGCTGGGAAGGACAAGCCATAACTCTAAAGGAAGCAAACCCAAGCCCCGCCAAGCTGCTCACCATGGCTCTCAACCACCTGGGCTCCTCACCACAATCACAACCACCTCACTGAGGTCACACCCTACCTGCCTCCCTCTTGGGCCCTTTATAGCAGGTAGAGCTGGGCTCTCTGCTCAACGTTTCTCTGCTCAAGGTGTCCCTCCTCCTGTCCCCTTTTCCTGCAGGCACTGACCAGCAAAGTGTTCAGGTGTTTCTGCCCCAGGAGGTGGAGCCATATGGGGTCATCCAGCTGCGTGGAATGATTTGCACCTGCAGACCCATGGAGTTTGGTGTTTCTTTGGCTTTTAGGTACTCATGCAGCATTGCTTTCCCCATGATGTCTAAGAGCACTTTCTGTGAAATCAGGAAAAGAGCTTTGAATGTTTTTTTTTTGGGGGGAGGAGTATCTGGTTTTATTTATTTAAAGAATAAGGACTTTATCTTCAGGACTGGAAATATGCTTTCTACTTTCCATCCTCCTTTTCCAAATGCAAACAGCACATCTGTTGAATCTCCTGGGGATGGACAGGAGTTGTAGGAGGGGGCTCCTGCCTTGGGGTAATGTCATGGGGCTGGAACGGCTTCTCCAGCACTGATGCCATGAGATAGCTGGGCTACCACGGCTCCAGGGTAGTGCTGGCTCCTCAAACGTGACCCAGCTAACCTGGCTGTGCCTGAATTTTGCAGCATCCCCCTCCCTGGCCCCAGGCCACAGACAGTGCAGAGACCAGAGCTCTCCCCAGCCTGCCCCATGGAGCTGCGTCCCACTGCCAGAGAGGACCACAGGACCTGTGTGTTGCTGGCACACTGGTGGAGAGGAGAATTCTCTGTTCCTCAGTGTCCCTTCTCTAAAATAGGAATAAGAGCTGTTAGCTGGGCAAAAATTCATCAGAGATGCTGAGACTGTTATGTTGGGATGATGGATGTCCTGGAGGACTTTGGGCAGAGAGGTGACAGTACGTGGCTCAATGCCAGGACTTAGAGGCACCAATGAGACTGTCACATCGCAAATGGACAATGGTTTTATTTTCTATGCAGCAAACATGAAAGCAAGAAACTCGCTGACACGAGATGTCCCAGAGGCCAGAAACACAAGTTTTAGGATCTGTTATAGACTTGGAGGCTGCCTCTATGTGAACGCAGCCCCACCTCGCCCAGCTCAGAGCAGGACAGGACATCCCAGGAGCAGGATAGGACATCCCAGGAGCAGGGTTGGACATCCCAGGAGGAGGCTGTCATGCCACCGGGGATGGCTCCCTCTAGGTGTATCTGCAGCCTGAAGTGCTGCACCCTCCTACTTAGGTCTCAGCTTCTGATGTAACTCGCTGCAAGGCCACCATGTTCTTGGTGCTCTCTGTCCTGAGGTACATGGGCTAACTTTGGCCATGGTCACTGCTGGAAAGCAGCTTGGTTTATCTCGCCAAGACCCCATGTATGTGACATGGGTACCTCCCACACAGTGGGAGTGTATTTTTGGCTCAATGCCCATTGATTTACACTGCCTGAATCCTTTCCTCACCAGGTGGGCACGGGGCCTCCTTGATCCCAAGATGGGTTTCAACCCTGGGGGTTGCCTAAACCACTGCAGCATCTCTGGTTTGCTCTGATGTGGGTGAAGGAAGCCTTTGAGCATGTGTGCGTGGAGCAGAAGAAGGATGACAAGGGGGTTCCTGGAGGCCAGGGAAGAGCTGGCTGCCTGGGGGAAGAGTTATGAAGAGGCTGGAAGGGACCCAGCAGTGGAAGCAGAAGGATATGTTGGCTAGAATGAGCATGGAGCAGCTGTGCAACCACGCCTGAACAAACCATTCTTTTTGAGTGCAATACCGAGAGTTTCGGTTTCATCCCGGCATGAAATGGCAGGAAAGAAGGAATCCTCACCCGGCTTTTACAAAACTGGACATATCACCCCAAACAGCAATGCTGTCCTTTCCCAAGCACAGTGACCTTGGCTCTGCACTCTCCCAGACCCAGGTGGGTGCTGATGGAGATTTCAGTGCTCCTATTTCCATCCAGCTTCCTCAGGAAATCTGGCTCCTCCGACCTCCGCCTGTGTCTCAGCCCCTCCAAGCAACCCCCGGTCTCACTTGGCAGAGGTTGAGAAGGAGGATTAATTTTGGAAGGGTTTGTCCAAGCCAGTGCCGGGTGTGGGTGAGACTCCCCCTGTGAGGATACAGCTGGGGAGGGAGGATCTCTGCTTTCCCCATCACTCGCTATCAGCTGGTATCTGCTGTCCCCATCTCAGCGTTGCACGTGCAAGCACAGCCTGGTGCCAGCAAACACCTTGGCTCATCTGCTGCCATGGTGTCGCTTCAACGTTAATTGCCTTCGTTAAAGGGGGGCAAAAGAAAGACCCAGTGTAAGCCTCAAGCATGTGAAGTTTTCATTTCCAGGCACTAGCACGGGACTGAGATGTTCCCCTGGTCTAACCTGGTGCTGGGAAAGGACCCCAAGCAGGGCTGGTGCAGATCCTCCTGGCAGCTGATGGTGGGGAAAAGCCTGTTTCCAGCCTGGGCCAGTGCTTTACTGGCCCTCACTGGGGAGTACAGGGGGAAATCTCTTCAACTTTCCGCTCCGAGCAATGATTTCTCCCTCGGCTCCGAGCAAATCCCTCTGTTGCTCCTTGGTGTGCCAAGGCTCCTCTAGACAGCCCTATGCATCAGAAAGGCTGAGCCTGGACAACCTCGGGGCACCTCTGGCCAAACCCACGAAGGGACAAGTGTGTGTCCAGGGGGGGTGGCTGGCCAGGTCTCACCTTCATCTGCCCTGCTTTTCCTGACCAGAGGTGAGCAGACATGTGTGCCTCAGTTTCCCTGGGTGTAAAATAGGGACAATGCCTATGCCCTGCTGCACAAGAGCTCAATATGCTACGGGGGATGGATGTGTAGGCTGTTGGGCTATAAAAAAGTATAAAGCTATATAGAGTGTACATAAAGGGCCATCTAGTCCAAGGCTACAGCAGATTGCAACAAGGAAAGATGTCACTGGTACATCCTTGGAGCTGAGGGAGGAGGGGGTCATTGCACAGAGATGCTGTGGACACGTTGGTGTGTTGTCTGCTGGAGATGTGTGCTATGATGGGAAGATGCTGAAGGGTCTGGTGTATTGTTGGGGTTTTTTTTTTTTGCTTTTCAGGCTTTGGTTGAATTTGGGTTCTGAGTATCAGGGCTGTGTGTCAGCTGGGAGCCTTGGCCACCCGAGCACGGGCTTACTGGGGCTGAATTCAGCTTCCTCTGGGTGCCCAGTGGGGTGGAGAGGAGATGCCTGCAGCTATGCCTCTGCAGATGGCTGGTGGGTCCAACCCTTCAACTGGAGACCAGTGGTCCATCTTAATGTCCCACCTAGAGTGCTCCCCATGGCCATGCCCAAGACAGGGCTGGTGAGAGGTGCTTTGCTGCTCTTGGAAAATGTCTCCTGAGGAAGGAGGAGCCAAATTTCTCTCCACCTCCCACGTCTACTACATGCAGGGATGGAGGCTAAGAGATGGAGTTTCCTGTTGGAGCTGGGCTGGGAGGTGAAGAGAGATTTAGAGGAAGGGATAAATAGTCCAAGGTGGAGGGGTGGGAGCTTGGTGCACTGGGGCTCAGTAGAGGGTGGAAAGGAGCAGGTGAACAGGGATGGTCCCGATGCTGTCCCAGCTGTGACTGTTGAAGGTGCTGGTGGGGAAAGGGGTGGTTGCAAGACAACCTTAAAACCTAGAGAGTCCCCAGGAGGAGAAACTGGGAAATCCCTCTTGAGGTCCCCAACCAGTCTTGCTTTTCCCTTCCCAATGCAGTGATGATTGTGTGTAAGAACAGCTTGTGTATGGGGACTTGGGAGGGAGTAGGGTCTGGACCGTGGTGGGAACAGGGCCATGAGGATGAGGTGGAGGGGTGTTTGGAAAGGCTACGGGCCCAGACAAACCCGACCAAACACTGTGGAGGCGATGGGAAAACAAAGCATTGGAAACTCAAGAGATCGTAGCTTTAATAGGGACCATCCCAAGGTGACATGTCCCCTTGCCCTGCTGCAGACATGAGCCTCTTCCACACGTGTGGAAATTTTCAGGAGGAGGGATGGAAGAGATTGGGAAGGAGAGAAGGATGAAGAAGAGATATGAAAGTCAGGTAGCTCTATGGGTCAAAAATATACAACACTGATATTATACATGGCCATCAGTCCCCTCTGGCCGGCAGGCTGGGGCCGGGTGGTGGCCCTACACAGCCAGCCCTGCGCTGAGTTCCCCCTACCCTGCGGGAGGTCACTTCCGCCTCCCGATTTGGGCCATGAGGTGCGCGTTGGCGGCAGCCTTTGCCCGCAAGTTTTTGGCTTTGGCGATGTTGAAGAGGATGTTCATGATGTTGGTGGGGACATCGAGGGAGAGGGTGACCTTGGTGCGGCGGTCGCTCTTGGCCCGGTTTTGGTACGTCTTCCCCTTCACTTGCGCCTGGGAGACATATTTGTAATGGCCGTCCCCCGGGAACGTCCTTTTGCCCATCTCTTCATCCACTGCATCCTCCCTCTCCTCCTCCTCAGACAGCTCCTCTGGTGATGGGGAGTCGAATCCACGCTTGTCCAAGATGGCGTTTTCCTCTGGGAGGGTCTTCTGGGCTTCAGCAAGGGCTGCGTTGAGGCAGCTGAAGACAGAGGCGGCGTTGTAGAGGTGGAGAGCCCGGCCGGTCTCGGCAGCACAGAGGAGGGCGAGGAGGAGCAGCAGCCTGGCGTTGGGCATTGCGGTGGCCTGCGTGGTGGACAGAGCAAGGGGAGGGCAGAGATGGGCATAAGCTTCCTACAGGGCCCGGGGCAGAACCCTGTCATCCCCCCATCCTCCAGCATCCCGTCCTCCTGGGATCACCTCCCAGGTCCACCCCCCTCCCCCCAGTCCCATGTAAGGGTTATGGCTGATGGGAATGAGTTGCCTTGGGGCCTCCTCCTCCAAGGTGCAATCCCCTAGCCCTTGGTTTTGGGGTGTTGGGTGGGAAGTGGGATGTCCAAGGTACTTTGCAAGGTGGCAGCCTCCACAGAGGGGAGGATTTGACCATCCCTTTGCCGAAACACAAGTGCCTGCTGCAGGAGAGCTGGTTTCTACCATGGCCCCTGCCTGGGGCAATCTCGTTGCAGTTCTCAGGTAGCCCTCTCCACCTTGCTAACACCTCCACAGAGTAACTGGGTGTACCACCAGTTGCTGTAAAGGTTGGGTTTCCTTTCAGCTCCTCTCTGGTCAGCCTGAAGCCACCAGACATGTTTCTGTGCTCTCTGAAGCTGGCAATTGCCTGTTTCACCCAACTTGGTCGGAAAAAAGGCATGGAGAGTGGAGTATAGTCAGTCCTAGTGCTGGAGAAGCAATCCAGCGTGATGGGTCATGTCCCCTCCCCAGCCCTGGCCTTGGGTGCTCTGGGATTGCCCCTTACCCCATGGTTCCATCCCCAGGACTCCCCTCCACCCTGGGTGCAGGACAGGACATCCCTGGAAACATTCCAGGCCAGGTTGGACAGGGCTCTGAGCAACCTGATCTAGTGGAAGATGTCCCTGCTCATGGCTGGCAGGGTGGATGGACTAGATGACCTTTCAAGGTCTCTTCTAACTCAAACTATTCTATGAGTCTATGATTCTATGGTTCTATGCCAGGCTGCCTCATCCGATGGCACATTTGGGGTGCACCTCCCCGCCCCTCCATGGACAGCTCTGCCTGAGAACCTGGGGGCACCTCCAAATTCACAGCACAGCAGCAGCAGCACTTTCTGCTTGAAAGATGGCTATTTTTGGGTCTCCCAGGGCTGAAAGCCTCGGGATAACCCCTTCTGCTCAGCAAACCTCTCCACTTCTGAATCTTGTCTCTCCAGAAAGCGACCCATCTCCCTGTATCCGCTCAAAAAGGTCACCTAAAAGGCCACAAGGGGTGTTCTCGTGGGGTCTTTGCCGGTCGTCGTGGTCAGACAAATGTCCCCAGGGCCAGCCCCGAAGACGCAAGGATCCTCCAAACTCCTGGAGACTTTGCTGGCATTCCCAATCTTCGGGCCCCATCTTGTGGCAAGCACATCGCACAGCAAGCCCTGGCTAGGGGACAGTCCCCAGGGGTGAGGGACCCTGCCTGGGGCTGGGGTTTCACCCCTGGGCTGTGAGTTGCTGAGTTATTTGCCATGGGGATGGGAGTGTGGAGGGGCCAAGGAGGCTGGGGAGAGATGGCTCCTGTAGGTCTCCTTGGACATCTGGGTCTTTGGGGTACCACTGGGGATGGAGGCTGTGCCTCCCCGCATGAGGGGCTGCTGGGTGGGGGACATGTCCTCAGGGCCATCCAACATCAAATCAACCCCCGTGTCCCCAGGAGACGTGTCACCCTGGACCTGCTCTTCTGCCACTGAACCACATTCCGTGAAACTGTTGTCACCTTAACTCCTCCTTTTAATGTCCCTTGGCGGGAGAGAACAGGGCAGGTTTATCCCTTTAACTCTGCCTTTCGCTGTCCCCAGGAGAGGGAGATTTGGGCAGGTCGCACAGGCAGGATTTGTGGGAGCTGCTGAATTTCCATTTCTTTCCCTCACTCCACAGAGCTCCCCCAAGAAAAAAAAAAACAAACATCCCCTTAACTCTGCCCCACACCCAGACAGGAGAGAAAGGACCTACAGCAGCCCTGGCACAACCCAGGCAGTGCCGGTTGTATGATGGTTGGGGGAGAACACCCCTTCCAAGGCACGCAACCCCCATGCAAGGGGGATTCAGGGCCCCAAACTCTCCTTCCCACATCCCCAAACCAGACATTTAAACCCTGGGACTTAGTTTTTGCTTGCAAAAACTTATCGGGACAAATATCTTTCTCCCACCCTAAAGCCTTCCCCTTTTGCAGCTGCCTTTCAGCCCCCAGAAGATGCAGAGACTGACCTCCACCCCCTTGCCGTCCCTGCTAGCAGAACGGGGTGCTGGGGGCATGAATTTAGGAATTACTGAATTTCCGCTCCCTGCCTGCAGCTCCTGCTCTCCCGGGAACGCTCTTTGGTCCTGAGCTGCTGGATGGAGAATGGGAATGTCTCAAAAGCCCTCGCAGAGCCGGCGCGGCTGCTGGCTGCGAACCGAGCTGGTTTGAGCTGCCGCTGCCCTCTCCAGAGCTGAGGAGCAGCACCTCCAAGTCGCCTCTCCCCGACAGCTATTTCACCGCTGCCCGAAATGGGTGGCTTGGCCCCGTGGCCGCTTGGGCTTTTTCTGCTCTGCAAAACTCTTCGGGGACTTTGGCCGGGCGAGGGGAAAGGCAGAGCAAGGGGGAAACGTGGCTGAAACACATCCGCACCCATCTTTTCCTGGTACTCGGCTGTGGGGTGGATATTCTGGCCCAAAAAAGTAAAAATAAAGGCAAAACAACAACAACAACAACGACAAAAAAAGCGGTGTCGGGCTGCGCTGGTGGACAGCCTGAGCTGATATTTTGCTTATGGGTTGGTTTTTTTTTTGCATGGGGGTTTTGTGCCCTGGTATACCAGCGATTTTTTTTTTTTTTTTTTTAACAGAAAGCAAGCTGGAATTGGATTTTCCTCCCCCCCAAAAAAAAGAAACAAGAGGCAGGAAAAGAAGAAAAAACACCTGCGGTGGATCTGAGGAAGTTGGAGTTAAATCTGCCTCTGCTGGAGGGTGACCTGCGGGTGCCGTTCGCTGAGGGTGGAAATAGCCGGGATGGAGGTGAGAAATTTACAGGCATTATATTAAGGTAGTGCCGACAGCCCCGGCAGGACCGTTTGTATCAGCTGAAGATCTGCCTCTCGGCTTTAACGGAAAAAAGTAAATCATTCCGGCAAGGGAGCTCTGGCAAACTGGGGACAAAGCTATTGGGAGAGGCACTGGATTAAGATAATTTTTTTCCCTGTTGAAAAGTAAGTCTCGAATGAAATAATACTGTAGATGAGACCTGTAGACTTTTTAAACTCTTTCTGTCTGATGCCGCCTCCACTTTCCTAATGAATCTCTCTGGAGGATGCTGATTCCCAGGGCTCCAAAATTCAAGCTAACCCTGTGGGGATGGGGCTGTGCCCTCCTCCCCTCCCCATCCCTTTAACCACAGCACTGGTTTGCCTCCCCACTTTTTGATTTCCCAAGATTTCCAAGCCCTACCCATGCTGCCCAGCCTTATCTACCTCCAAAAATCGTTATAATAAAAAAGATAATGCTTTGGTTAGGAGGGAGGGTGGGGGGAGTTTCTTAACACAATATCTTGAACTGCTTTTCCCTATCCTGCCTTATTTTTTTTTTCTTGCAGAGAAATGTGGGACCTGATCTCCCAAGGAAAGCACTGAAATATTTAAAGTTTGTGCAAATGAAGCCGGTTGCTGGTTAATAAATAAAACCCAGGCACTCACCTGGTAGTCCGCAGTGGTCAGGATGGGAAGGGGTTGCTGCGGTCTCACACCAAGGAGAGAGGCATCAGGCGCGTTCCCCTGAACTTCTGCACCCTCGCTTTTCTTTTATTGTTATTAAGAGGGCTGCGATAGTTTTTCTCTCTATGGAAACGCTTTTCCCCTCCCTCGTGTATATATAAAAATGAGCGATCACGGGGTTTGAGTCGTAACTCCAGACGTGGAGCCTTCGTTTGGGCATGATTTCATTAAAATGAAATCAGAGGGAGCTGGCAACGTCACGGGGCTGCGGTGCCTCTCCCCATGAAAAAAAAAAAAAAAGGGGGGGGTGAGGGGTGGGAAAAGACGTCTGAACGCGACAGCCTGGTGAGAGTCACCCAAAAACAGGGCTGTCGCCATCGCCGGGACTTTGCGGGATCACTCAAACACGCTTTCCCGCTGTTCCTCCAGGTAGCCAGGCACTTGGTGCAAGGATATTTTAAATGCGAAGGTTTTTATGGCCCCTATGGATGCCTGTTGGGGTTTTCAGCATTGATTAATGGTGTTGGCCCAATGAATGTATTTCTGTCCAAAGAGTGGGGCTGGTGCAGCGCCACTGGCAGTGTTTTGCCCCAGGACAGTGCTCATAACCCCCACCCGCAGCAGTTACATTCTTGTCCCGCTCACACTGCCCTGCCCTCTGCCTGGTTTCCCATCCATGGGTTTTTTTTTCTGCTCCCAGTCAGGCAGAGAAACCCCTGGAAGATTGAAAATTTTGGGAAGCGTCTTCCAGGATGTGGCAGCACAGTCCCATATGCAGCATTTGAAGAAGGGGGCTAAGGATGATGTGTGCCTTGAAAAAAAAAACCCTCTAACGCCCCAAAGGCACTGAAGTCCAGCAGAATCAATTCAGGTTGCCCCAAGACAACAATCAGGTGGGAAACCCCCCCAGTCTGGGGTCCCAGGACCACTCTGGTCCCAGTGTGGTCAGAGAGAGGTCTCCTGCAATGCCCCACGGTACTGGTTTGCAAGCAAAAGTGCTTTGTGCTACAAAGAGGATGGGGATGGAGTTTCCCTGCTGGAAATGAGTTGCTCCATGTGATCCTGGGGTGAGACACCCAAAGGAATTGGTTCTCTGTCGGAGGGTCCCTCCAACGGCCATTGCAGATTTGTAGCTGGGCTGGAGGCTCCTGGTGGTCCCAGGACCCTGCTCAGCCCTGCCTGTTTATCAGAGCTCCTCTCTGAAACCTCCTTTGGATTGCCACCACCACCACCTTCTAGCAAAAGGCTGGTGGGGGGCCCTTATCCCTGGGAAGGGACAAATCCTACCAAAGGTGGGGAAAGCCCTCTGAGCGCTCCCCCCCCCAAAAAAAAAAAAAAAAAAAAAAAAAAAAAAAGTAACAGCAGCCAGTAG